TAAAATCTAACAAACATATCCTTGAACTAACTAAAACCCAAGAAAAAACCAACAAACTTTATATTTTGAATGATTAAATCCTTAAATATTTTCTAAACGAATAAATCCTTACACTTATAAAACGTAAGCAATATATCATTTATCAATCGATGTATCTAGATCAGTAAACAATTAAAGACCATTTTCATTATCCAAGTACAATAATCCCATAAAAATGATTAAATACCATTTCCATTATCTATTATTTATTTTTCAGATTCAAATGAAAATGAAAACCATAAACAATCTAATAATTATTTATTTTTCATTTTCGAATGACAATCATAGGAACATAACAAACACCTGATTTTCATTCGAATCTGATAAATAAATAAGGGTTACTAAAAATGATGTATCTTTTCGTTTTATATATTTATTGTACTGATTTGTTGATACATGAAAAATAGTTTTCATTTTAGTGTTGGAATGTGTTCTGGGCTTTGTTACTATGTTTAGTGTTGGGCTTCTTGTTTAGTTGGTTATTGTTGTACCACCATAACCATTAACAAGATAATATTAGAAGCGCAAATATTTATTTAATATTCATTGAATGATTTAGTAATGATATTTAGGAATTATTTGGGATGTTATAAGTTGGAATGATGATGAATTTGTCTGATTATAGAGATTGATTAGATGTTTATGGTGTATTATAGAATTTARTACTTTGACGTAAATTGACTTTTGGGACCATTTGTTAAATATTATGGTATGAAAATGAAATTGTAGATTGTCGGTCGGGTATTGATTTCAATCGACGTACATGCACATGTGAGTATTTATAAGACGTTTACTRGTATGCATGCTTATGTAAAAATGTTTTTGAGCATGGGAATGATTTGGGACATATGTGTTGTGCATGATATTATTTTTATATGCATGTTTATGGGCTTTAATACATGTATGTAATGTGTAATATGGGTTGTATGCTATCTGTTTGTTATTTTTAAACATTGTTTAGCAGGGGCTGTTATTTTAAATCAGTTATGGGATTGGGTCGATGTGTCATAATGGAAGGCATTTCTTATGGATGRGTGATCGGATAAGGGACAACCTTATAATCCGAGGAATGCCGATGACAATATGACCTTTACCCGATGAGATAATATATGAGATCACGTAATTATTTAAAGGGGTTTTGAAACAAATGTGCATACTATTTTATTTTCATAKGATGGGACATGTAGGTTATACGCACAAAAACTTTGAACTCAGTGAGTTTTGTAAAACTGACTTTAGTATGCATCTCAGGTGTAAAAAATTCAATGGTGGACAAGGACAAGGTTCATGCTTAGTGAGTTATATTTCTATTGATTAAATATAAGATTTTTGGATGTTTAGRCTTAATGTTTGAAATATTTTGTAGCGTAACCCGGTATGGGATRGGTTAGCGTTGGGTTATTATTTACATTTACATTTTGTAAGACTTTTACTGTAACAGACCTTTATTAGCAATTATTTTCGGGTTACTTATATTATCTAATGAGAATGATGTGGCACAACTCATTGTAAAAATGAGGGTGTTATACATTTGTGTTACCACCTTTGAGACCAAACTCCTTTTGGTGAGTTTCGGTTTCCGTTTGGTATGTAACAGAAGGAAAAACACCTTGTGAACACCCCATTCAACAAACCCATTATATTGCTTCGTCAAAAACATGGATTCGGAATATTTACCCAAAAAATAGAGTTTTGAAATCTACACCCAAAATAATCAAGAATGATGGTTCTTCTACCCTTTGGTTCTTCATAGGAGACTATGGAATCAGTTCAGGTAAGGTTTTCCATTCAATTATCCTCTCTATTTCGATTCGTTGTAGATGGCAGAGATGAGGTGGGAGACGATGCCGCTTGAAAGGTAGGAGGGGAGGAAATGTGGAAGGTGATGGACGTTAGGATACAAATATGGTGGAGGGTGGAAAATTAAGGTTGCATGTTAGGAGGCAAGGAAGGTKGAGACGGGTGTGTTTTGGTATAAGTAATAGATTTTTGATATGTAAACATGTGTGACTAATTTACATATGAACTATTTAACTGATTTATATATGAATTTGTATAATTCATATATAAACTAATTAATCGATTCATATATGAACTATACAACTAATCTTAGGGATAATAATTAGTTAGTCACCACCCTCTCTCTTGCTACATAAGATTTTTGGTTAAGAGACAATATATATATATGCCTATGTATCTAGTTTACACAAATAGCATAAATGGTCCCTAAACTATAGCAACGATACAAAACCAAACCAGAATTCATCATCACCCACGTAAACCACTCACAAAATAAAACCCTTTTCATTCAATATTTGGCCGACGGTATATCATCCAACGACACATTTCCATTCTGCATCAAAGCCATCTGCTGCATATCTGGTGCCTGCTCCGATACACTCCAAACTTTCACCGACTTATCCAAACTCCCACTATAAACCTTCCATTTCCCCTCGCCGGCGCCGGCGCCCGCACCACTGCTCGACTCTTCACCATCCCTCTCCACCGCCAAACACTTCACCGGTCCCGAATGTCCCGTCAGCATCGACAAGCATGTGTGTGTGATTCCCTCCCTCTTCCATACACATATCATCTTATCAGCCGATCCACTAAACACCAGATTACCCACCGCCGACAAACACAGAACCGCCAACTTGTGGCCGTTGAGAACACCGGCGTGAGCCAGTTGCTGCTTTCTTCGCTCCCAGAAGTTCACGATCCCGTCGGACGTCCCGCAGTACACGAAGGCACCGGTTGTCGACACCGCCAACGCAGTCACGGCACTATCTTGATTCAATAAAGTCTGAACGTAAATATGTTTCATCGACTTCCCCTGGCCTTCGCGTTTCCAGACCTTCACGGATCCATCTGCGGATCCTGTCAACACAAACCCTTCTGTGGTCGAGATAACGGAGTTCACCGCATCATTGTGTGCCTTTACAGATTCTAAACATCTCGAGTTCGACGTTTTCCAAACCTTAAACGTCCGATCCCACGAGCTCGAATAAAGCAATCCGGCTTCTTCGTTCATGCTAAGGCACGAGATGGCGTCGCAATGCTTGACCCAAAGCGATGTGTGTTTGCTTTTCCCCTCGCCGTAAGTCTTGGGCCTCATCGAACACCTGAAGATGGCGAGAAATCGTGGGAATGTACCTACGCGCATGTAATGGCGCGGTTTCTTGGAACTCGGTTTCCAAACTCGAACCTTTCCATCTTGATGTCCGGTAAAAATCTTGTGACCCGATATTATAATGGCCTTCACCAATCCGCTGCTGGATTTGAAAGCGGAGAATTCGGTCATGTTCTTCCAGACCCGGATGTTCTTGCTGTCGGATCCGGTGTAAAGGAGGTCACCGGAAGCGGCCAGCGAATAAATGTGGCCTTCTTCCCGAACCAAGGAGCCGATGAGACAGTTTTTGGGACAATTGGGGTCGTTGAGGCTAGCACTGGTCCATGGAGATGGTTGGAAAGGGGTGGCTTGGTTCCAGGGTGACATCATTACCGGGGAGCCTTGGATGCTTGCACAATGGGGGTCGTAGTCGGAAAAGTCGCTATGGTGGCTGCCGAAGTCTTCATCGGTGTCGGAAAATGTGGACGTAATGTTTGGATCGGAAAGGTTTCGATCTCCCAATCGGTTTTTGGTTTCGGTTTCGCTCTCTCTCATCATATGATATGTGAAGTTAATTTTGGTTGTTGGGTTAGATTTGCAACAAATACAACGGTGGAAGATGAGAAAAGAGATTGCAAAGGAGGAAGGCGAAGGGGTTAAGGAATATGATGACATGTAAAATGATTTAGGATCTAAATTAAACATAATCAAACGTTTGGTGAATATATAGACAATTTCGGAGCAGGACCTTCCATCAAATTACGGAAACCGTATTTTTATCTTTTTGTATATCGTTATCGTTACAAAAAGATAAAAATACAGTATATATATATATATATATTCTATGGGGTTGGTTCTTTTGTTAACCTAATAATTTGTGTTAACCATACGAATCAATCTTAGCTCTTAATCCTTGAAATCTATGGATTAAATCATGGTATATTTGTAATAAAATGAAAATTTGAACAAAAATAGGCATTGGTGAACATTCTAGAACATGGATATTTGTGGAAAAGATCATGACATATAAACGCCTATGGAAAATCTTATTGAACACCATATGTGGCGATCACAATCTTATGAACGAAGTCTTAGGGGCTGTTTGATTCATGGATTTGGATGAAATTGAAAAGAATTGGAATGGTGACAAAATTCCAAATATAATGTTTGATTCATGGAATAAAATTGATGGAATCCTTTCGATTCCAATAAATTTCTTCACTCACAGATTTTACATTCCATAGCAATACCATCGGATTTCAATTCTTTTCTGATAAATTCTTTCTCTAATTCAAATCCATTCAACGTTGCGTCTACCATATCATCTAATTGATCTATGGTTCATACGCTCTTTCTCTCTCGTAATTTCTCCATCTATACGAGATCGATAGATAACATATATAATCAAGGAATCGATTAAAGATAGCTAGCTATTGATATCACTAGTCCAATTCCGTTATTTAAAAATCATAAAAGGTTATTTGTTAATATTTAATTCCGATTTTAAAGTTGAATTCCGTGAACCAAACAAAAAAAATTCCAATCTGTTAAGAATTTCATTCCAATTCCATGCAACCAAACACAATCTTATGGTTATGAACATATTCTTATGAATATCTTATGGTTATGAACACATTTTTATAAACACCCATGAACATAATTAAATAGAATAAACGTAACTTACACATAAAAATTACATATTTGTCCTTCGTCATTGAATCAAACATTTGAAGTAACTTCTACTAAAGAATGAATCTTATTGATTTAATAAGTTCACAAAGTTAACACCATATTCTTGGTTAACAAAATATCTTACCCACCCCACCCTCTCTCTCTCTCTCTCTCTCTCTCTCTCTCTCTCTCTCTMTATATATATATATATATATATATATGGGTGGGTGGGTACAAATGAAAACTCATTTTTTATTGTGAATATGAGGATAAATCTTGACAATTGATCAAATTTTACAAAACTAATCAACGGTTAAAACATAAAAAAATTAATTAAGAAATGATTAGGGATAAAAATGGAAGTTAGGATTTGGGCTATCATGTTTGCCTTTCTATTTTCTTTTTTAATTTAAAAAACTTTTACCCCCCAAATTTTTTAAACTAAGTTATCTTAAAAATAATTAATATTTTAATTAAATAAATTACATCAAAAAATTGAGTATTTCATTCTCTTAGATTTGATATCCATATCGATATAGTTTTTTTTTATTTTTGTTTTTCACATTAAATAGTATATTTGTGTAATATTCATTATATATAATTTGTACATGTTCACATGTTTAAACAATTTTTTAATATTCATATATTAGTATGATATACTATAACACTCATCATTAATAGCTATGTATTTTCATGTGTATTCAACAAAACTTCAGTATTTTATGTCATTATGACATTCACCATCAATATACATTTCCATTATATATAGGGTTGGGTTCACATGAAACCAAAGTTTTTCATGAAACCCGTAAGACCAATTTATGTTCATTGATCAACTTTATAAGCTAAAGATCTAATGATCTAAAGTTGCATGGTGACAATTTTGTGATTATTGAGAAGTCTCGTGGTAATTTTGTGATATGAATGTTCAGATTGTAGATCTAATCCAAGGGTTGAGAATTGGTCTTACGGGTCTCACGAAAAAACCTTGGTCTTACGGGTCTCACAAAAAACTCTTGGTCTTACGGGTCTCACGAAAAACCTTTGGTCTCACATGATCTCAAGTTTATATATATATATATATATATATATATATATAGATAGATAGATATTATCATGAATATTTATCTATGTTAACGTGTATATAACAACTTTTCAACATTCATATATCAGTATGATATTCATCATGAACATACAATTTCATTGTAACATACATCATGAATATACATATTATTCATCATTAATATTTATGTATGATCACGTGTATACAATAACTCTCTAGTATTTATATTAGTATGATATTTATCATAAATATTAATTTTCACCATAATATTTATCATGAATATATTACAGTTTTAATTCTACATACTTTAGTTTTTCTTTCTGACCCGACATTGCGTTTTTGATTGATCTGGATGAGTTTTCGATTCATCTTGATAGATTTTTCATTCCATCTCGATAAAAGTTAAACGTGGTAGGTTATGGTTTTACATAAACAAACACACACCAAGTCAATGGATGGATCATTGATTAGTCTTGATTGGTGTCAATCGGTCCCAATGGGTTGTCGATCGATCTCGACGTGTTCTTGATTGGTCTCAATAGGATTCTGATTCTTCTAAATAAAAGATGAAAGTGATAGTATATGTTTTTATATACAAACAAATAATAAATCAATTGATAAGTTCTCAATGAAAAATGAAGGTGGTAAGTTATGGTTTAATACATATAAACACATACTAAGTCAATGAATGGATTCTCGACCATTCTTGATCGTTTTTGGTTGGTTCAGTCGGTCTCGATATGTTCTCACTCGATCTCGATGGGTTCTCAATCGGTCCCGATGGATGTTGGGTTACGGTTACGAAGAACGTGGTGCTTTATGATGTTAAAGAAAATGTTGAAGAATGTGATGTCAAGTTATGGACTTACAGTCTTACAGTGTCGAGTTGTTGTACTCACTTGAACGTACATAATATTCATAATGAATATAACACATATATATCATTTCACGTAAAAAAACAGTTAAAACAAAGAGAAAAAACCTATATCGAAATAGATGTCATATTGAAGAGCATGAAATTCTCATTTTTTTTTATGTAATTTGTTTGATTAAAATATTTGTAATTTTTAAGATAATTTATTTTAAACTTTTAAGTAGGTAAATTTTTTTAATTAAAAAAAAATCAAAAATCAAAAAAATAGGCGTGGATTGAAATTAAATCTTTTTTTTACCCCTAGTACTTTAATTAAAAACTATATTTAATTTGAGTTATTGAATCACTTAAAATTGAGGGCCAAGATCAATCCTCACGTTTTTTTATGAAAATTGAGTTTGCATTTGAATTTCCTTCTATATATGTGTTTGTGTGTGTGTGTGCATATGTGTGTGGTTTCAAATATAAACCATGTAATTTTATAAGCCATAATCAATGCTCATATTAGAAAACAATCGAGATATTTATGAATAATTATCATGATTAATTAATTATGATTGAAATATTTATAAAAGATGATAAAGTTCATTAATTATGAACATGGCTTTAGATTGGGAAACAAAATGGAATTAGATATTATTAGACTAGATGGATGACTAAGATTGGTTTGTATGGTTTGTATTTTAAACCTTAATCCAAATTATTGTGTTAACCTTATCAACTTTTTCAACCAATCACAATTCATCTTAGTATTAGGTTATACTTTATCTAAGAATTTAATGTTAAGGGTACGTGGGTACTTTTTTCTTTTCTTTTTGTAACTCCTATATCATTAATTGGGAGTTACAAGATCCATAAAATCCCATGATTTTTGCATTTTTAATATTAATCTTGTGATTTTTTTTCATTTTTAATATTGATCTTCCATTTTTAATATTTATAAATTTGTGATTGGTAGAGGAGGTCTGCTAGTAAAGTATTTGTTATCGTTCAAGCAATTATGGATTAAGACATTGGAAAACAACACGATAACATTGAAAATGTTAAAATTGTTTCTAGTGACAGTTGGAGTTCATGATCGGGAAATGAAGTAAATAATAAAAGTGAGTGTCTTGGTAATTATGAACACAAATTCACATATATGACACCAATTGACATGTATACACCCATATGAATAGAAATTGACAACACTTGCGGCAATTATGAACACAAATTGCACATATTTGTCAACACTTGTGGCAATTATTAACACAAATTGAACATATATGAACACTTGTGGCAATTATAAACACAAATTGAACATATATGTGAACATTTGTGGCAATTATGAACACAAATTGAACATATATGAACACTTGTGGNTGAACACTTGTGGCAATTATAAACACAAATTGAACATATATGTGAACATTTGTGGCAATTATGAACACAAATTGAACATATATGAACACTTGTGGAGATTATGAACACAAATTGAACATATACGATTTCTACTGTTTGTAACCGATGATGTTGATTGCACCTCCTCTTTTACATAAATACCGTTGAGCTACTATATTCACATATATTTGTGAGATTACAAAGGTAGTAAATTAAATTTATAATAATATGATTAATCTCAACCCTATATTTGAAAAATTAATGGTCATTATTAGTTCATAAAGTTAACATAATAATTTGGGTTAACAAATGAACTTGCCCATATATATATATATATATATATATATATATATATAT